GAAAGGGCTCCCGTTCCCATGAAGGTGATGCCATGCTCTCGGCCCTTTTAGCTGCCGTCTTGCAATTCTCTAGGTGAGTCATGACAGGCCACGTCAGCCCTGGCTTCTTTCTGAAGAACTGCCACATGTCCAACCACATGCGGAATCGCCCGAAGTCCCTGGGTGGCACAAATGACTAAAAGTTACAGGTTCAAACCCACGTGGAAGTCCCTCAAAAGAAGGCCTGGTGATCTTGAGGACCCTAGGGAACAGGTCTGCCTTGCACACATGGTGTCGCCGTGAGTTGGAATCAACTCAAACACAGAATCTGTGCTGGCACCTGGATGCCCCACTAATATAAGGTGACCAGACGGTCCGCTTTTGGCGGGACAGTCCCGATTTTTAACAATTTGTCCTGCGTCCCGCGGCATTTTTAAAAAGTCCCGATTTTTGGAAAGAATGCACAACAAACTAGGGTACACGGTTTTCGGCTGTCATGTGGCTATTTCGCCAGGATATGAGTTTTATCAATGGTGTCCCGCTTTACCGATGTTAAAATCTGGTCACCTTACACTAGTACCTCAAATGTGGTATGACTAAACTCCCAGGGGAGTTGATTTATGTACTGATCACATTGTGGTCACATTCTCCTAGTTCACTATTAATAGTAATATAGATTTGATCTCCCCCCACTAAATTCTGAGCAACCTGAAAGCAAGAACCCCATCTTACAATCTTTATCGTTCTGAGACCAGAGAAGGAGTGAAGGTAGCGATCTGGACAGAGCATGTGCAGAGCTCATGATACCATCTTGCCATGGGGACTACATTTCCCAGAATCCCTTTCTACCTCATGGATGTTCTCAAGAATCTTGTGCAAGGGAACCTTTTTAAAAAGTTCCTTGTGCATGCTGGGGACAAGAAATACTGAATACGGCCAGCGGGGTGGTAAAGTTTTCTTCTTCCAAGTGCTTCTACATAAAATTATCTTGCAATTCTCTAGATCTTCCAAAAGTAAACCTTTCTCTGGGTAAGACAAGAACCTAATTCTGGGAACAGTCCCCAAACCTCACCAAACTGAGTGCCTTGCACAAAGCACAAAGGAATGTTGGCGATAAACATGCATTCAATAATTCAACTCTTAAATTCAGCAGACCAATGTTGTCTCGAGAAGGGGAGAGGAGAAAACATTTCTTTGAAAGGATTGTTTGAAAATAAAACAATTATCCATAAACCGTGTCCTGTAAAAGGCTACACTGCTCAATAGTTCTCATCTCATCTCATGTCTGGACAGATGTTTCAGGTCGGTCCAAGCCTAGACCTGGACCAGTATTTCAGAAACCACAATATTCATAGCAAGTTACATTGTCAGCTGCTGAACTTCAGGTGCTGGAAATATCAAGGAATTTATGGAAAGCCAGCTTTTCAATAAAAATCCAAAAACAAAGCATTGAGATCATTTCTTGGCAGCAAGGACAACGCCCTGGGAGGTGGGGGGCAGGGGGGGGCAGAGGGGGGAAGGTGAGGGGTTGGTAGGAGATTTTCTTTTCAAAAGGGACAGATGGGAAATGAGATAAGGGACTTCCAGGCTGTTGTAAGAAGCAGGCTTGGCTTCCTCTTGAGGTCAGTGGTTTATAGATCACTATCGGGCTCATGGAAGTAAAAGAGGAATAATAAAAATCTGGTGTTACTTAAAGGGAAATGTATGAACCACATTTTTCTTTACAATGCTGAGAACTCTGTAAGATCGAAACATTCACAAAAGTGATATTTTAAAAAGGTTTGCCAATTATTAATAATCTTCACTAGGCATACTCAACTTTTCTTTTAAATTCTCTTGCCAGGAGATTTGATTATGATCCAAAACAATAACCAAAAACCCCTCACTGCCACTGAGTCGATTTTGAGTCGCAGTAACCCTATCGGACAGAGCTGCCCTTGTGGGTTTCTGTGACAGTAACTCTTCATGGGAGAAGAGAGCCTCGTCTTTCTCCCTTGGAGTGGCTGGTGGTTTCAAACTGCTGACCTTGCAGTTAGCAGCTTAATGCATAACCACTACACCACCAGGGCTCCTTATACTTTAGATTGTGATACTGGACCATAAAACATCAATCGAGAGAATGTTGAAGAAATGATTGCTCACCCTGGTTTCACACACTGCTCTAAAGCTAAGAAGAGTTCCACACATGTATACTGCACCGAATTCCTACAACAGCATGCTTTTATTCTTCTTCTCATTTAATTACTACTCTTTGGTTAGCTTCCTTCAGACACTAAAGACTAGGTTTTATAAAATATTCGTGACATTCATCGAATACTTATAACCATTGAGTTGTACAATTTATTAGCCTGTTGCCACGGAGGCAACTCTGAGTCCCGGTGACCCCCCCAGTGATGTCAGAGGGGAGCTATTCCACGGGGTTTTCATTGGCTGCCCCTTTTTGGAAGCAGATCACCAGGCCTTTCTTCTAATGCACCCGAGCCTGGACTCAGACTTTCAGCCTCTCAGGTAGCAGCAGAGCACATCAAGTGTTTGGACCAACCAGGGACTCCTACGACTTAACTACCATTTTCAGCGTCTAGCATTCTCCATCATTGTACAAACCCCAGTCAACTGTGCAACAAGCCCGAGCACAAGAGCACAAACGCCCAACGCAGACGAAGTGCGACGGCTGCGACTGTGGAGAAAGTCCTCATCCACGTCGCGAGGCAGGAATTCCGCTTCAAAGGGAATCATGCTTTGCTATCAATGGTCACACTCTGGCTGAAAGAGTGGATGCCCTGGACTCTGCATTCCATCGCGCAGAGATTGGTAAGTGAAAAGTCAACGTACATTTCTTCATCTGAAGTGTTTTAATCCTACAGGTCATCGCTACCTCACTGCCAACCCCTACATCTCCAATGTACATTCAGTGTCACGTAAATGCCCTACAGTCACAAAGCGTTAAGAACCACATAGGTTCAGTAACTACCAGAGGAAGTATACTACATAGGCGGAATTTTTCAGTTTTCGAAATTATCTAATTTCCCCCAAAACTAAAGAGTTGTTATAGTCATCAGTTTTACAAACATTCAACAAAAAGAACCTAAAAGCCAAACTCACTGTTATCAAGCCCAGGCTGACTCATAGAGGCCCTGTAGGACAGGGCAGGGACTGGCACTGTTGATGCTAGTAGACGCAGGCCTCCTGTCTCTCTCCCTGGGCATGGCCGGAGTGCTCAAGCGGCTGACCTTGCAGTCAGCAGTGCAGTGAGGAACCACTAGCCACCAGGGCTCCAGACGGCACAGTGAACATGGCCTTCCCTGATCGAAGATGGCAGCATACCAGAAAGCAAGCAACACAGAAACGTAACTGGGGCCCATCACAATTGCAGTGATGGCGAGCAAGCTTCTCCCCAAATAGAAAGCAATACTTCTTCATTTATTCTCAGCCAGGAAAATGTGGATGAGACCTCTGCCTCTCCCAGAACCTATGTGCCTAGGAAATCGGGGGGCACGACAGGAGAAATCGTTCCAGGCAAACCAACAAAGGGGTTTTCTCACTGTTTCAGTCACCCCACTCCACAAAAGGTTAAATATCCAGGTCCCTTGTCCCTGGGATAAAAGATGAGACTAAATTAATTCCACCTTTTTCCTTTGGCTTGTTGTTCCTAAAGCAAAATGTTAGCTCAGGCCAGTTAATAAAACTTTGCATTCTAGACTGAAAATTTCAAAATTGCTTTATTACCCTAATGACTACCGAGAAGAACACATATTTCATTGTCAAAGAACCTCGAGATAACCTCTGGCTTCCTCCTAGGCCAGTACAGGAAAAATATGCCAGTGTGTGCTGTAATTTGTAATCATCTCGTGTGCTTCTCATGCTAATAAATGTGTTGCCAAAATCACAGGCAAAAGGCATCATTCTGAGGTTGCTGTGAATCTGTCCATTAGCTCCGAGGTCTGTTTGTCCTGACGTTTCCAAGCACGATCTCCAACTGCCTTTCATGCAATTCAGCCTTGCAGACGGCTGGTTTCCTTCCCGTGGGATGTTTGGCTCAGGAAAGAACTAAAGAATCATCGTGGGTTTTATGTTCTCTTTTTTCCCCTGTACATGTATCGCTAAAAGTTGGAGAGGGCAAATATTTGTGAAAATTCTCACCTTTGTTTCAAATTTAAAGGGCGGGGGTGGTGAGACAAGCAATGATTATCTCAGAAGCTTTGTTAAACAACTGGTTATGCACAGAAGTGAATATAAAAGGCCGTGTTCTGGGGAATGAGATTTTTGCAAAAGGTGCAGGGGGAGGCTTTGAATATCAGTTATTTCAGTATTTCTTGTTTGGTTAGATTTTTTTTTAAGTCTTCAGCATTTTTAAACTATAATGAATCAATGAAGCTTACGAGGAAGGCAGGCCCGGGGTCCATTTCCCAGGGCTTTAGGCAGTGTGAGCATCAGGAAGAGACTCAGGGAAGAGCAGCAGGCGCAGAAGAAGGGAGAATGAAACCGGTCCCAAGAGAGCAAAGGGAGGAGCCAGGACTTCCAGGCACAATGAGGAGAGTCCCAGTTGCCAGGCATCAGACAGCACCGAGCTTCCTGGGAGAAGACTATCATCTCTGCTCCTCAATAGCCTGGAAGCTTCTTTCAGGTCAAGGGCCATGGGTCACCCCCAGAAAGACTGGCGGCATCATCTCTGAAGAGCTGGGCAGAGCACTGTTAGTTAAGATAAAGCTCACACACGTACACGAGGGGGCTTCCGACAGCCACAGGAAAATGGAATTAGTAGAGGCTGGAGTTTTCCCACAAACTCTTTAGGCCCTCTCAGACACATACTCGTACACATGTGAGCGGACACCAATACCACTTCAAAGTTCAACTCACGTACGAATGCCTAGAACATAATGGCATAACTTCATTTCCTTCCTCTGGTACCTCATGGTTTCTTTCCAGAAATCAGCTCACCAAATAATAAACACGTCGAAAATAATGGCCTGTGCCCAAACCGAGCACAGGGCTCTATTTAGGGAAACCGCGAAGTGACCCACCTGGAAGTCATCGTAGGGGAAAAGCAGCATCTCCCTGAGGCAGTCATTCAAGATCTGCGTCTTCTTCTGAACAAGGACAGTCTCATAGTCCAGTGGCTCAATGAGCTTTGGCTTTGCCTGGAAGGACCAAAAAGAAAAGAAATATTGTTACAGCTAAGTGCAATTTCTCGAGAGAAAGACCTTCACACACTATGTCTGTTTTTTTTCATTTTCCAAGTTGTCTAAAATGAAAATGGGTGAGGATTGCTATCAAAAAGAAACAGAAACAAAAATTAACGTTGTTTTCAGGAGACAAAAGGAAGCTTGGTGGCAACCTGTCGACGGATAGTCGTGTTTATTCAGCTAGTGGAGCGCTGGCTCAGCCTCTGGACTCATTTCTAGCGCCACCCCTCCCAGGCCCGGCTCACTCCAAGTCTCAGGGTCTGCCAGGGCTGCTCCCTGTAGTGGGAGGAGATGGGTGTCCAAGCATGGCCCAGCAGTGAAGAGTGATCATCCGGAGGGGCCCCAGAGACCACATTACCACCCTCTCGTGGGCCGGCCCTAGGCCTTCACACATGCACCCAAACCAGTCCGCTCACTGCCATCAAGTCAATTCCAGCGCCTGGCAACCCTGACGTGCCCACAAACCACCAGTTCACACAAAGGCTCTGTAGAGAGCTTTCTCTGCATGCCCAATGATCCCTTTGGCTCCTAAAACTTAGCAAAGTATAAATGCAACATCTTTCAGAAAAACATGTCAGTTGGCTCCAAACCAGGGAAACAGAAACATTTTAAAAGGGACTCCTTAAACCAGTGTTTGTGAGTGAACTTCACGGGCTGCAATGTCCATTCTTGGCAGCCGTTGAGTAGAAGAAAAAGGTAACAAGCAAGCGGGAAAAAGAAAGGCAAGCACATGCCTTTTCCAGCTATGTCCAAAGTTAGTCAACTCAATAAAAATCTCCTTTATCTAGATGAATCATTGCACCGTGACGTTGATCATTTTCCAAGTGCAGGCAAGAACTGAAATTTACTGTTGTCAGCAACCCTCCATTCACCTGACTCATAGCAACCTTCTGTGCAACGAAGCGAAATGCTGCCTGAGCCTGCATCATGCAGCCGTTTCACGCCGGCAGCATGTTCAAACCCATTGTTGCAGCTCTTGCACCAATGTCTCACCAAGGGGATCCTCCTGACGATGACGACGACGGGCCCAAAGCAAGTGAGGGAGCAATGTTCTGCTGGGAAGCATGTGGCTTTCATGCACGAATTTCTTCCTAGTCTGTCTTACTCTGGAAGCTCAGCTGAAAACCACTCATAGTATATTTGCAATATTGGTGGCCTAGCTGCCAACATCTTAGCAACATGCAAGCTACCACAGTACAACAAACTGACAGGCAAGTGGCTAATTGGACTGGAATACATTAGGGTAAAGGTGCATATTCAACTATAGCACAGTATGCTCTATGTGAAAAGGCACATACATACACACATACATACATATATAAAGTATTAGTAAAAGGAATTAATCATCAATATTCTATTATATCACTGCAAGCTTTTTTGGAATTATGGTTTCTGAATATAATCACAATGTTACAAATGTATTAAAATGATCATTTGTATACCAAAACTACTGTCTACCATTGAGTTGATGCAGATTCATAGTACCCCTACACAGGGTTTGGGGGGGGGGGGGTTGTAAATCTTTACAGGAGCAGACAGCCTCATCTTTCTTGCACAGCGTGGCTAATTGGTTTGAATCCTTTGGTGCAAACCTGTGGTTCGAACCCTGTGGTATGCATCCCTCCGGTTGGCCATGTGGCCACATTCTAGCCCATGACAAGTCTCCCGCTTGACCTCCAGTTTCTCCCGACACCACTCCCCAGCCACATGCACACCACCTCGCTGTGGACTCTGAAGCCTAAAGAGAGCGTGAACCCCACCCCACCACCCCCAAAATGGAAGGAATTTGGGTCCCTGAATCTCTAATGAAAAGGCTGCCTGCCTAAAGCAGAAGTGAAATATTCCTTGCACAAGAACTAAATCACCTAAAGGAGCTTTGTAACATGTGGAGGAGCAGGGCAAAAGCCACAGGAGCGTGTGGTTGAGAGGCTGAAGACCAGAGAGGCATGCCGGCCCGCGTGGCTGAGAAGAGGCTCTGTGGACCAGAAACCTGTGTTCTTATATTTTGTAACCTGTTAACCTCCCTAAAAGGCCTCATGACTGCGAGTATTGTCTGTGAATGCAATTTGGTTATTCCAACCGACTGTCGGACTCAACGAGAAGCAGAGCGGCATGTGAGGGATGGCTGGTGTCACCTTGTGAAAAGGGGAGAGGGTGGAGGCATGCCGGGCCTCTGCTGCATAGGGATCATCCTTGGGCAGATGTGGATTCCCCTTCTCCCATCAGACATGGCTGCCACGCCATTCCTTAGTACGCTATTCACCGGCTACACAGAATGTTCGAAAAGTCTTAACACTGTGCTTTCAAAACCAGTTGGTGTTTGGTCCAATTTCATTTCTCACTGTTAGCCTTAGCAAACCCTTGGACACTGGCAATTAGCATGTCTTTCTCCAGCTTACTTTCTGCCACCTCGATAGTCTTCCAATAAAATACCTTCATTCTCACTGATTTAATTATCATCATCACAACCCACTCCAAGCACATATTCCCAAGCCCATGGTAGCATTATTACCGCCTATCACCATATACGAGTATAATTTACTGATTATGTTTACTTTTTTTTCATCACTTCCTCGGCTCTAATGTAAGCCCTGCAGTTATTTTATTAACTGGCATAGCCCAAGCTTGAAACACCATCGGACATCTGGTAGGCACTAAATAAAAATTGTTATCAGCACCAGAGTTATCATTAACAAAAGTTATTACCAGCACAGATACCCCATGGAATCAGCAAGAGGGCAACTACGGAAGCAGCTTGACTAGGATGTCCGGGAGTTAGCAACACACTTTCGTTGTGGTGTAAAACATGCCGTCCTCAAGGGACGGTCACACACAAGACTCGCAGAAGTCTCTCCATGGGGGGGAGGGCTGTTCTAGGGCTAACGGGGTGATGATTGTACAATTCTCCTTGATATGATTGAGTGATTGAACTATCGAATTGCATGCTAATACAACTTTTTTAAAGTGTATAGAACAGAAGCTATGTTGATAAACAATAGCTTCACGTTTTTATATTTCTGTTTAACAAATCTTTCTATGATTTTGTACCAAAAACCCAAAAATCTCATGAAAGATGAACACGTCTTCTCCAGGGTCAAAGATGGTGATGATCCCCAGGAACACAGTGTGGGAATTGCGCCTGATCTGACCCCGCCATGCCGAGGCAAGGCACTGGGGTGGGAGTGGGGGTGCAGCGGAACAGCAGGGGAGGGGAATAGAAAGATCCCCAGGGAATGATGAGGGTGGACATTGGAGAC